CGCTCGAAATTTCCCGAATGCATCCGAGCGTGTATTATTCAAGTCGCTGATCAGTCGACTCAACATTGACACTCTCTTCTCCCGCGCTCTTCTTCTCTTCACTGTCCTAGCCTCCCCGGTTTCATCGAGCTCTCTCGCATCTCTCTGCTTTCCAGCCGAGTTCAGATCCCCAACGGTCCTCACAGGTCCCTTAAACCAATACACCCCACCATACTTTGGGAAATAATAGTACAATATCGAGAAGAGCATGATACTGCCGAGAACAACGACAGAGTAATTCATGTCTCCTGCACTGGCAGGTGCTGGGTTTGTGGGGAACAGGAAGACGAGGAACATGAAAGCCATCCAGAGGACGGAGATTATTGCACAAGGTAAGCTCTACGTAAGCTTTCGTCAGATCATATCATGTCTAAACGGATAGGTTACGCAATGAGAAAGGCCCAGGAAAAGACGTACGAAGAATCCGAGATTGAATGGCCCGGGCTTAAAGTTATTCTCGAAGACAAAGCGAGCGATTATCGGTATCGAATAAGCCACATATGATGCAGTTACCGAAATTGAGAAGACTGCATTTATCGCCTGAGCACCTGCAAACACGAGAAGGCCCAACAGTGTTGCAAGTATAGCACTGAACCAAACAGTGTTTACAGGTGTCCGGGTATAACTGTTCATCCGATACAGAATTTGCGAGAAGGGTAGAGCTCCGTCGCGAGAGAATGCAAAGACTTGACGGCTGGACGCAAGAAGCATGCTATACGAATCGACTGTCAACATCCGACCTCGAATAATGGACATTGAAGCAATAGGAAGTCTTACGATGTACCCATAAAGAATTGAACGATCACAACGAAAGCCCACAATGCCAGCGTTCCACGTTGTCCAAAGCTATTAAAAAATATTGTTGCCATTGGCTGACCAATTTCGTTATTCATGATCGCGTCCAGATCTGTGCCCATGCAGAACGCAAGCGCGACGTTGATGGCCCAACCAAGCACACCCGCCACGAAGATAGCGCCAACAATTGCCCATGGTACCGCGGTTGCAGCGTTTGAGGCTTCTTCGCTGATGTGCACGGCCGAATCGAAAGAACCTAACGAGCAGAGAATGTCACAATGGCGCTGATCGGAGACGGAGGAGGAGAACATACAAATCGTCCATAGAGGTGCAAGAAAGCTGAGGCAGAAAGCGAAACCGGCCGGCCAAGTCGTCGCTAATGCGAGGATCAGTGTCGACTGATATAATTATCGGAACAGTGAAAAGCGTACTATTCGTGAAGTCTGCGAGCGCGAACTTCGCAGTATTCATCAGCTCCTTTGGAGTAGCCGCAGGAAGCGCAATGATAACGGCCAGGCATAATCTTTCAGTTTGAGACGATTAGAAAACACTGATCAGTCAAACCCGACAAGTGATACTTAGCCATTGAACTCACAAGACATTGAGAATGACATACGCAGTCTGTAATCGTGCGATGACATTCGTCGCGAGACAGCAAATGATCGCACAGATAACCATAATCAAGCAGTACACGCCGCTACAAAACAATACAGCCAGTTGCATAAAAAGCTTTTGCTTAGTTATTAAGCAAAATCAGCATACAAGATTTCAGCATCTGTCGCTACGAATGTCTGGTTTGTTCCGATGCTTGCAGCAGCCATTACTTGGACGGCACAGCCCCAGTTGATTGAAGCAACAGCGGAAACCGTACCTATAGTATTGGCATCTGCAATATTATAAGTAAACAATGATATAACATCTTGTAGGCGTGCCCGAAGAAGAAACTCACATCCGACGATCCATGCAAGGAAGTTACGCCATCTTGGAGAGGACAACGAATGCGTCCAAAAATATAGCTTGTAGATAATCCTTTAATACTGTGATAATATTTCCAAAACTAATGGAGGGACTCACCCCGCCAGAAGTTGGTGCAGCTGATCCGAGTTCACCCATGGACATACCAACAAATAAAATAAATAGGCTTGCGACTGCCCACTTCAATTTGCGTTACGCACAATATCAGAATGATGTCGTAAGGAGCTGATATGAGATATTTGTGGAACGTACACCCCAAACCATTGCAGAAGGTCCGCCATTTGGGATCGCATAGAACAGAACTGAGCTGCAAGCATGATTGGCCGATACACCTAAACAACGACGAGGCGACTGCACTCACGCAATGGAAGGTAATAGACCAATAATACTGAATGCAATGCCAAAAACCTGAGTTGATGTAACATTAACATGCGGACAGGACAAGGAACAAACACGGCGCACCTGTATTGGTGTGAATGCCCTTAAAAATTCTTGCTTGTATCCAAGATCAGCGAGTAGTTGCTCGTCCGCGGCGGCAACTTGGTCCTTCAAGTTGGATGAGTTTGCTTTTGAGTTTGACATCGTCAACGGCTTCTATCTGACAGGAAGGAGGAGGAAGGAACAAGAGGCGTTAGACGCCAATCTGGCATTTCTTCTCGCTCCAGATAGCATTGCATATGGAATCCGGAGGACAAACGAGCCATATCCCCGCCCATTAGAACTGGTCCCCTCGGAGTAGACTGGGGCCCGATAAATTTGAATGGATCCAAAGATAGAAGCAAGTGTAATGGGTGATAACAAGCCCGGCTAATGAACTTCTTGAAAAAGCGTGTGAAACGGGGGAAAACGAAGAGATAAGGTGTTGGTCACGCGACATGGCCGAAAGACGCGTATCAAACAGATGTAAATAACGCGTTCTGTTCAATTTCCATCCAGGGAAAAAAAACGCCAGCAGTGACGACATGGGATAGTGACTCAAATTTTTCAACTTTTGTTGTTGAAAGCAGTGGATAGGCACGTAATATTGTAATGACACACGAAATATATACAATGCTCATCAATACACGCCGCCAATTTCACCCAAAGACGATCGGTTGCGCTTTCATCTAGAGCACAATCAACTTTTTTTGGGCCACTCAATATCACATTGCAGACAAGCATACAGCTACATGAAGCGAATTATCTTCAACTAATACGTACGCAAGAAAAGAGGATAGATTTTTTTTTACAAATATTCGAAAATTAGCTGCTGATAACTTGGAATACCTTCCTCCAAAAAGAAAATAGATCTGGCACCGAAGTTCTGCATGTCTCGGAAGTGATGTTGCACCCTTTCGCGATCAGCTGCGGATATTGGGTACTGAATTTTACCTATTTTGGCCAGATCATCCCACAGTTTTAAAGCGTCCCAGCGCGATTCTAGCATTGCACAAAATGTATCGGCACATTCGCGCGGTTCTCCAACGATGGAATACCTCCAGAAACAAAACCATCTTAGATCGGGACATACAATTTGGTTCCGCGTATCACAACCGCAGTTGCCTCCGCCAATCCTACCTGGCACAGAAAGAAGTCGAAAAAGTTGTGCTGAGATAGTACAAGGGTCCAAATCGAGTAGTTGAAGTAAGGGCAGAAGCGGAAGAATTTGTGCAACTGTGGCTTCATTCGCATAGTTACCACCAAGCTCCAGACGGGTCAACGGTGGCAGGGAGCGTTTCATAAATGATAGGATATATTCGCTTGAATTAATGAAACCGTTATCTCCGCACATCAATGCTGTCAAAGCAGGAAGATCCAGTTTATTGATTACGAGTGGAGCATATCCATTGCGTAATTCAAGGATCCGGAGGTTATGCAAGACGATAGGATGATCGCTGCAGTTTAACGATGTATCCTCTATGCAGGAGAAAGCTCGGAATTTCCTCAAATTCGGAGCCGCCTCCAGAACATCCAGACATTGTGGTACAGTGAGCGGGCCATAGCAAAAGTCACGCAATTTGAGATCAAACGTGTCCGCCGCTGGCAAGTGCATTGGCTTATCTCCAATACCTAGAGTAAACGGGCAATCGAGGCATAGATACTTAAGTCTCGAAGAACGCGAGAGATCAATGCTTCCGCTGCCTCTGTATAAGCCGTCATCGAGCTTGACGTACAGGTCCAGCGATGTTAATTCGGGCATATTTGTCAGCCTGACGCCTGGGAAGCCGGGAGATGTCTGAAATCGCCAGGTAAACTTGACCTTCCCCCAATGCCACTGATGAGAAATCAACATCAATACAGCACGCTCAGCCAGCTCATTATCCTCTGGAAACGGGTAATTCTTGAGGTTGCAACTGAACGAGAAATTGAGTGGCGCCCCGTTTGATCTGTGAAGAAATGCATCGAGAAGCTCGATCATGCCTTTCTGGTTTCGCCTGTAAATAAAGTCGCAGTCCAGATAGGTCCAGAGGACTCTAAGCGAGAGAGACACTTCGCGCCATCGCCGACAAACGCTCGAGATCCTGACCGGCGTCCTGATGCTTTCCTCTTGGGGCCACGTCTCGTTGCGTACACACTCGTGAAAAATGTCGCCGAGTACCTCCGAGGGTAAGGAGTTAATGCCCATAGAGTAAGAGCACGTTTGCGAGAGATCTCCTCGTGCTGGATCGCGGTGGAAGGACGGACTGTGCTCTGAGGAAATTTTTCAGGATGTTGACGGGAGTTATGTTGCTCTATCCTGTGCATGAGATTAATGCAAAGTCACTGGAAGATTTTTAACTGACCTGATTAGAAGTATCCAGGACAGGCTTGAAAATCCGGGCTACGAAAAGGCGGAGGAGCTGGGTTGAAGAATGTGCGAAGGTAACGAGGAGTACGACGTGGAAGCACAATATATACTTGCTCCTTATTATGTGTGCCCAGATAAGGCACCCAACAGGCGGAAGAACCACTAGCACTGTATTGACCCTAAAAATCAGATATGTGTCTCAGACAGCCTCAGACACCTATTACAGTAATCAGCTTTTCGTGATACGGGCCGGAGAAAGTATAGTCAGAGAACTCCGAGTGAGAGAGAAGCTTCCCGCCATTACCGACAAACGCTCGCAATCCTAACCGGCGCCCTAATATTTTCCTTCTCGTAGCTTGCGCTGCATACGCACTCTTGAAAAATGTCACCAAGGGGAGGGAATCGATGCTCATGAAGTAAGAGCACGTCTACGGAAGATCTCCTTATACTGGACTGTCAGTGGAAGAACGGACGGCATTCTGAGAATCCTTTACACAAGGACGTTGATCACGGAAGCGCCACTGCCTTGTACATGACATCAACGTGGAGTGACGAGAATAATCCTAGACTGACCTAGAAAGTGCCTATGACAACTTATGGACCATAAGCTATTACTATACCATGATCCCTCTTTGCCAACAATCCCTCTTTGCCAATTTGCATTTACACACAAAACACAACACCTAATACTCTACAAAAATTCATGGGAGTGTATTTTTACTATTTAAAACACAATATCTCTTTTTTTCTACAAAAAATTTGATAGAGGAATTAAAAACCTGTGAATACTGCTATTTCCACTGGTTGCAACCCTTATAATTAGCAGTTTTAATTTTTCTAATCAAGTTAATAAGTTGATATTACTACACATGTATATAATTTATACACAAGTACTTATATTATTTTTTCTTGAGAGATTTAATGGTGGTTGTAAATTAAAATTGAGTAAAGATTGTTTTGAGAGTGACAAAAGTGACAGATTCCCAGAGCTTGTGCTGCGTCTTGCCAGAGCCAAATTTCTGTGACAGAATGTGACAAAATTGGCAAAGAGGGATCGCATCCCTCTACAGCT